GTTAATATACTCAGTGAGCAAACGGATTTAATATCACGTGCTGAGTGGATTCTCCTTGGCCCGGAGGCTGTTCGGGGCCTGGCCGAGACCCTGCATAGAAGGATGACGACATCAAGCAAACAGACAAACAAACAAACATTGAAAATTTTTCAACAGCTACGGGACTAGCTGTCAATAGAGGGGGGGGTAGTGTAACGGTTCGAGTACACACTGAACTAACATCCGAAAGGGATCCGAACATGGGCACGCACTAGCCGAGGGCAGATCTGCTGATATAAAACCCCACCTTCTCCATACCGTAGCTCGATAGATTTTTGATATCCTTTCGTACAAGGCCTATAGGTGTCTATTCGAATCAAGGCTCGTTTGATGTCCCACGCACTCCCATATGCCTCTGAGTGACGCTACTGCCGATACTGATCCGAGTAGTCTTGCCTGCGCCGTTACATTGGCGTGCTTAAGGAGGGTTTAACAAGACTAATCTATTTGATAGACTAACTTATGACAATCTTATTAAGTAAAGATACTAGTAAGAAAGTACAATTTGAGTTGACCACAACGAGAGTAAATAATGAAATCCATCCATCCTTATATCCTCATTGCTTCCAGTCCTGACATCTGGCCAAGCCCTTGACATCTCTGATGTTACTGGCATCTCCAGATGTCCTGCCTTGGCGAGATGCCACGTCACGTGATCAGCGCCCCGCGTTGATCATTACCTTCTGACGTGGACGTCCATAGGCCTTCCGCCATCTCGTCATTTGTTAAGGAGAGAATCCTTTTTGTTACTTGTAACATTACCTCCCCTCTTAGGGCTATCGTCTCGATACCCTGGAATATTGTTTTCCCGTGCCGCGTGTTGAGACGCCGGCTGCATATAAGGTCAGAGCCCGTCCACTCGTTGTAGCCGTCTCTGCCTCGTAGCCGTCTCTGCCTCGTAGCCTTCCTAACCATGCCCAAGGTCCACAAGCCCCGTGCCCCACGTTCTCAAACTTCGACTGAGCAGAAGCGTTCCCGGGCCGCCTACGTAGAGTAAGAGGGCCTTGAAATGGAGTTCTGCTATAAGCGTTGTGAAGAGAAGAAGTTGCGTTGTTTTATAAAGACAACGATAGGTCGTTGCGCTAGTTACATTTCCGTTAGTACTGAGTGTAGTCTTTTTATTTCCAAGGAAGAGTAGGAGAAAGTTCGAGAGGAACGTAAAGAACGAGAACTAGCTGTAGCTCGTCTTAAGGCACAGCTTTCTTAACAGAAGTTAGAGCTTCTAGAAGTAAAGAAGCGTGAACAGGTTTTCGCGCGTCGTAATCTTACGATTCTTGCTATTTAAGATCGTACGAAAGAGCAGGCTAAGAGGAGTTTAGCTCCTAAGAGTACGGGCCTTCCTGTTATCGAACCATCACTATCCAGACCATTAGCTAATCTAGGCGGGTTACAGGCTAATTACTATAATCCTTCTTTTAACTATTCTTTCCTCTTCGAGAGGCTTCCCCTCGCTTCTTTAGGTGCTTCTAGTAGTATTCACGTACCAGTGACTTACAGTTCATCAGGTTTCCTTTAGGTTCCTAAGTGTTATAGCTTTCAGGCCATCCTTACCACTTAACTAAGTACTTCTACTAACTACCAATTTTCCATAGGTCCTTAATTTCCTCAACCTTATACTCGTTATCTTCAAGCTCTATATCTATTACTAGCTTAGTATCTAGAGGTGCTGGTTCTAGGAGTTTTTTATAAAAGACAGGGTGGATTCGCATACCTTATAGGAGTTTTAACTTATAGTTTACTTTCCCTATTTCCTCTAGGATCTTAAATAGTCCTATTCAGAGGTTGTCCAATTTTCTGCATAGTCGTTTAGTTTTTAGGTTTTATCTTAATAGAAAAACTTTGTCCCCCTTCTTAAAGGTTAGTCCCTTAATCCTTAGTTTATTCGCTGCTTTAGATGTCGTAAGGTTTTATTAAGCTATATTCTTACTTAATTCTTCGTACAATTCTTGCATAAGCTTCGCCTTATCGTCTACTCCTACCGCGATACTTTCAATATCCTTCAGATCTTAATAAGCAGTCAGCTCATATCCGTAGTTCGCGTAGTACGGCGAATGCTTTATCATTACTAATTTTATACTATTATAGGCCAATTGCGCTGTTAGTAGTAACTCTACCTAGTTATCCTACAATTTATTAGCGTACATCTATAGGTACTATTCTAATGTCTAGTTCGTGCGTTCCGTCTAGCCATCTATTTCCGGGTAAAAGCTTATTAAAAGCTTCTTCTTAACACCTAACTTTACTAGGAATATACTCTAGTATTTAGACGTAAATAGTTTATCACGATTAGTAATAAACTCTTTAGGTATCCCGTGCTCTAACACTAATACTTTAGTAACTTCGTACGCGCATTCATCTGCCGTAATAGTCTCTTCTATAGACATAAACTTTACTACTTTAGTTAATTAGTCCACAATTACTAGGATAGTATTACAGAATCGAGCTAATCCTAGTTCTAATAATTTTAGAAGCTTCACTATAAAGTCTATCATTACGCTTATCTATAGTCTAGATAGTAGCTATAAGAGTTATAACAGGCCGTAGAGCTTATGTCTCTTAGGCTTGTTCTAGTAATATACCAAACAGTTACTTAGTATTTCCTGCACCTTCGCTCACAAGCGTGGTATCGCAAATACCTTAGCTAGTCGTCTAACCATTTCGTCCACACCTACGTGTCTATATTCTAGGGACTCGTGTAGAGTCTTAATAAGTTCGGTTCTTATATATAAGAGTATATACGTGCTTATACATTCTTCTAGAGCTTTAAGCTCTTTCCTATCGTTTATTACTTCTAGCGGGTAAGAGTCCGTTTCTAACGCCCATAGCGTTGCCTTTTCCTACTATTATTTCTATAGTGTTTTTACCTACTCGGCCATCTTAGCTACCTTAGCTAGTTCCGGCTAGTTGTACTTCAGACTACCATCAAGCATCGTCTTAAGTAAGGCGTTATATAGTTCTTTATAACCCTCTTCGCGCAAATTAGACCTTCTACTTAAAGCGTCTACTACTCTATTAAGCGTTCCTACGCGGTACGTAATCTTAAAGTTATACTAGGCTAGCATCTCTACCTATCGTACTTATCGTTAGTTAAGTTTTTTCGTTATCATAAAACTCGTTAAGTTCTAGTAATTAGTAAAAACCTTAATCTATTTAGGGAGTCCTAATAGGTACACTTTCTATTATTTAAAGGTATTAACTACCCTAAGTAGTTCTTTATTATAAACATTATAGTTAAGTTCTACTCTAGAGAACTTCTATAAATAGTAGAATACTAGCCTCTATTTCCTATCTAAGTACTACTATAATAATACAGCTCCGAGTGCATAGTCTAAGGCGTTAGTCTTAACTCTTATTAGTTATTAAGGGCTGTATATCTTAAGTATAGGTGCCTCTAGAAATATCTACTTAATTTAATTAAAAGCCTCTTAATATTCCTATTCCTATTTAAAACCTATTTCCTTTTTCGTTACTTCTATAAGAGGTGCTATAATCTTTAAGTAATCTCTAATAAACTTTTAATAGTAATTTGCAAATCCTAAGAAGGATTAAATATCCTTAACTATTTTAGGTATTAGCTATTCCTATACAGTCTATATCTTCTTTAGGTTTATTTTTACTTCTTTAGTTAATATAATAAATCTAAGAAATTCTGTTTCTTATATATAGAATTTATACTTTCCTAGTTAAAGGTATAGCTTATATTCCCTAAGCTTCTATAAGACCTTCTTAATATACTTAATATATTCTTCGCGTATACTACTAGAGTACACTAGTACGTCGTCTAGATACGTAGTAATAAAGATTCTGAGGTACTTATAAAGAGCGTTGTTAATAACTAATTAAAAGGTTACTAGCGTATTTATTAATCTAAATAGCATAACTATATACTTAAAGAGTCCATACTTCGTTTTAAACGCTGTTATTTATTCGTGACCTTCTTTAATCCTAATTTAGTAAAATCCTTCCTAAACGTTAAACTTTATAAACTACTTAGCTCCCTAGAGTTAATTTATAAGCTCTATAATAAGTAGTAAGAGATATTAGTTCTTCTAAGTAACGCTGTTCAACCTTCTAAAGTTAATATATAGTCACCACTTCCCGTTAGATTTCTTTACAAATAAAATAGGTAAGGCTATTAAGCCTAATCCTAGTCAGATAAATCCCTTCTTTAAGTTCTTCTAAATATAATCCCGCAGCTCAGCGTCGTGCTTAGGCGCTATAGAGTATATTAGTTCTAGGCTTAACTTAGCTCCTTTATTAAGAATAATCTCGTAATCTTAATCCTAATGATCTACTAGGTGCGTTACCTTATTTTCTTCAAATAGTTCTCTAACCTCATCCGTTTAGTATTCTATTAGAATCGCTAACTATAGTACTAATCCGTCCTTTGTGGTCGCGATCTGCCATATCTAAATAACTCCTACTCTCTAAAGGTCCTTCGCATAGATTCTCGCGATCTTATACGGTAAGATTATACCAAATCTCCCATCCTAGGTTACGCGCTAATTCGTCGGGCGTGTCTTATGTCGTACTTCAGCAACCTTATACACAAGCTCTCAGCTAAGTAATATCTTCTTTTACTAATTAATAGCAGAGTTATACTTTAATAACTAATTGTAGCTAATTATCATCTTAGTCTCTCTAAGATCTATAATACTAATCTTTTCTTAGCTTTCTTAACTAGCTAGGCGTAACGTTACTACCTTAGTCTTAAGTTAGATCCAGCCGTTCCCGTATGTCGTAGAACTATCATCAGCTAATACCACTCGCATTGGTACCTTCTTATTCTAATAAAGTATATTATTTCCTTCTACTACTTATAGAGATATAACAGTTCGTGCTACCCTACTATCTATAAGCGCTAATACCTTATGTCTATCTATAAGTACTATAGCTTTTAATTACAACTCTTTTGCTCCTACTTCCTATACTTACTTAAGAGTTGTTTTAGAACTGCCTTTACCAGCGTGACCCTATCCCTAGTAGCATCCTAGTTTTTTAACTACCTACTTCCCTTCTTCTTTAGAAAGTAGCCTTCGCCTGCCTTAGTAGAATAGTATATTATATACTAATCGTTGTAGTAGAAGCTCTAATAAATATTCTTATAAGGTATCTTCTATTATGTAGCCCTCTTTCTTAGTTCCAGCTTCTTACTTTTATAAATCGGGCAATCCTTTGCCTTATAAATGTTCGCTAGTAGGATACTATAGTAGTAGTTACCTACCTATTAAGTATTCTTAAACTATTATTAGTGCATAGTGTTAGAGATATAAGCTAATCAGCTAATCTCTGACATAATCCGGGTGCTCGGCACTATACTCGGATTCTTCAGTCAACCAATCCCTATACAATTCATCTATCTATTACGTCTATAGCTACGTAATCTACTACTAGATAGATTCTTCTAGAATCTAGTACAGCAAATATATATAGTAGTAGAATAGCTAGTAGATAGAAACCAGAGCAGATTACAAGAACAGATCAGACTACTAGATCAGATCAATCCAATCCTTATCTCTCTCCCCTAGCATTTCTCTCTTTTCATCCTAGAACCTATCGATTCGCTACCTCTGAGTCTATCGCTAGACAAGTAGACTACTATACCTCTGAGCTAGCTATAGAACAAGTAGCACCCTCCTTATTTCAACACATAGCACAACCTTTCCTATAATGCGTCTATAGGAGTTTACTATACTCTACTAGCGTTTCCCGTACTTAGGCTCTATATATTCTACAGTTCTTCGCTATACATTCTTCTGCGAAAATCGTACTATAATAGTAGTCGTCTACCCTCTTAGCTTTCTATCGCTATTCTTTATAGAATTAGTAATTAATCGTGCACTTAATCTAATATAACTCTTCGTGAGCTTCCTTTTCTCTAGGCTAGTATATATAGTAATGCTATACGCGACACTCGTTATACCATAAATTAGTGTAGCAGTAATTATTCTCGTTATCTCTAGTCTCTTCTCGCTTTCTTAAGTAGTAATCATACTATCTTAGGCAGCCGACCTAACATAGGCGCTTATATTACTCTATCTATTCCTTAAACGTCCAAGGTGTCTCCTCGTTATTAGGTTTCTTAAACCTAAGTTATTCCTAGGTAGCCCTATAGGTAATCTTATCTACTTAGGGTTCTAAGATTATAACTCGTCTATTGATGTTATAATTATTAACTTAATGTGCATTAGTTCTGCAAATCTAGTACTATTAGTTTCTTAGACGGCGTAGTACTTCGGCCCCTTTAATCTGCCAATCTATTAGTAATAGTGCGTCCTACTTAAAGTCTTAGAGTCTTATTACCTTTTGTACTAGCTTAAAGGCCTCATTAGTAGCTTGTCTTGCTTCTTTGTATAGGTCTAGATCGCTAAAGGTTTTATCTAGCTCCTTAGTTAGGTATGATGTTAGTATCCGAATTATCCCAATCTTAACCGCTCCTTATCTAACTTCGTTTTTTAGGCAATCTCTGCGGAAGTATTCTACTTTACTATACTAGAGATATACCTTACTATTATAATACTTCTTACATTCTTCTATAAAGAGTCCGTTATTAAACTATCCTTAGGGTTTTCTATTCTTGTCCTTAGACTTATCTTATACCTTACTAGTTATAATAGTATCACTATCCTTATTAAACCAGCTACGCTGTTTCCTTATGTTAGCTATTACTAGCTGAGATTATTTTCTTTATCAGTTTCTTTCCTATAGT